GCATTGAAAGAGGTTATTCCCCCTGACAAAAGAAAACAAAAAAGGAAGAATGAGTCTACCATGCAGTCATATGTGTTGCCTCATCAGGGACAACACCAACATTTAAAAAGCAATACAGAATGCCTACTGCATTATCTTTACATTTGAGCATTTCTTTTATAAATAAAGATATTTTTCACCATAAATTGGAAATGTATAAACTCATCCAAATGTATGACGTTAAAGGGGCCCTTTCACACTATTTAGGGTTTTCCCTTTCCTGTAGTGTGTTATATAGGTTTTTCATGCCCTCATTGGACTCCTTTGTTTACTCCCCCAACATAGTGACATCACTATCTAACACTCGCAATTCATTAGGCTAGTGCTTCAGCAAATTGTATTTGATAGGCTAAGGGGCGGGACATCTCTAAGAGGTTAACCAATCACAACAGAGCCGGCCAGCTAACCAATCAGAGCAGACTGGGCTCTGGCTTCAGACAGAGGGTGAAAAGAGGTGCTGCAGCACAGGCAGTATGAGAAATATAAAGAGCTGTTTGAACATTGAAGCATGGAGACATTTCCCAGGAGAGACACAAAAAGCAAAAACGAACCTGAACATTTGCAGATTTAAGGCCCCTTTAAGTGATGACGCTTACCATTTTGTCACCCACCAATTTTAAGATGAAACCTACTGTCTTGGTCATGGGTTTGTTTTGATTACATACAATGTAATATCTCTTTAACAGTGAAGTAGTAGTCATTATGGGCATATTTGTTATGATCTTCGAATATAGCCTTTAATGAATTGTAGCCCCCTAATGCATAATGTGCATCTTCATGTAATGCCACCTCACTTTGCACATACACACAAACGCATATGGTCATACCCCAGTACCGACCAATGATCTTTTTCATTCCAGAGCAATATCCCTTCATGCAGCAGATGTAAGGAGAAGAGGACGATGATTCTATCACACATGAGATACAATTCTCCTGTGGGCCACTGCACTGAGCAGAGAGATAGAGCAACAGAGGGGAGACGGGGGGGAGATTGCCTGTCTGTAACCAGTCTCTCAGAAAAAGAAGAACATAAAGACTCTTGGATTTATTTTTACTGTAGCAGCCAGTCAGCAAAGAGGCCATTTTGTTCTGCTTGGTGCACTCGGCTGATAGACAGCACACTGCAACAATGTATGTATTCATATTCTAATTAGTCTTATAGAGCCAATTTTTCAAAAACTGTGCATATCAAGATGGCCTTTTTTAGACTTTTGTCAGCCTCTTTAAGCAAGACATACAACACTGCTTAAATTATATTTGTCATAAAATGCAATCTTTCTTTCTTAGATTTTCCAGCATTCTTGTTTAGGTAAAAACACAAAATAAAATGTGTTTTTTTTTTCCTTTTTTTTTTTTTCTATGATGGACCCCCATTTTCCAACTATCATTATAGGAAACGTATTGCTGGGATATTTTTCAACTAAACTCTTGCTGCACATAAAGCAACATTGGGATGACAATTTGAGTTAGCCAAATGGAAAGTTAGCAGAAAGGCAATTGTATTTTTCCAATGGATTTTAGATATATTAAAGTAAAAGGGCTCTGTGGCAAACAAACATTTAGAATAATTTCACATTGGCTATTGTTTTGCAGTAGAATGTTCACAAAGGAATAACACATTTATGATTTTGGAAGCTTTTGACTTCTTGAATCACAAGAAGTCAAAAGCTAATGTTAGGTCAAAGACAAACCAGAATTGCATTACTACACAACAAAACCATTCAACTAAAGGCTAAAGGTTAGCAGTCTAATTTAGCCACTTAGCAACCGCCTTTTTCAAACCACGTAAAAGCTTCAGAGTTCACAAATGGGCTGTAAACAGAGGTGTTTTATGTTGTCGATTAAAACATAAACTCTTGAGCTTATAATGCCAAATAGTTTATCTTAGCAACAAGCTAACATGCTAGGACTCATTCCTTCAAACTGAGCAACTCAACTACTTGACGAACGAACAACTTCAGTATATCAATCACCAGCTTAAGTGTTACATGCTCAACTGAAAGTGCTTTGACAAAAATTGTAATGAGAATAGCAAGGCTCCTTTATTTCCCCAGCACAGCATTCCATCAGCTGTTCTGAGGTTTTGAACAAGCTCCTTCCTCAGATTCTAAGAGTTACTGCTGATGCAACACAGGTGGTACACGAGAGGGCAAAGACTGCACAAATACTGTATCATGAGACCATTTATGCCTGGGGCTTTCTCTAAGCAATTTGGCAATAAATCATTACCTTATATTAGGCTTATCAAATAGTTCAGAGACACAGCAGGTGGAGAGATAACAGTGGAGAGGAAAAGCTATTATCAGAATAGATCTACTTAATCATGTTCACATTGTGCCAACCACTTGAAAATGCAATATTAGCTTAATTAAACCGTTTCTTGTTCATTAGAAGTCTCAGGACAGTCAGTAGTCATCCCTCTAACTTCTAGATACACATTTTCTTAAAGATTACTTTCTGTCAGACCTCAGCAAATGACCATTTGAGAAACAATTCAACGTGCATGAAATAATTGGCTCTGCACAAATTGACTCTCAAACTAAAGATGATGAGATTTCTTAAATTAAGTCAGGATCAATTACTCCAACAAATAAGATTATAGCTATTCTTTCTTTATAAACACACAAAACTTCAGTTTTTTTTCTCCCATTTGTTATGTATTTAGCAGTGGTGTTTTCTCCTGGAGGCCAAGGGAAGCCAGGCTTCCCCTGTTTTTTCGGATTGTAGTTATAATTTTAATAAATAAATAAAAACACTTCGTTTAGTTTCGGAAATTTTTCTTTGCTGTGTGTTGCTGCCGGCCCATCTCTCCCCCATTCTCATTGAGTATTTTACAAAGAGTGAAACAGCGCCCCTCTAGATGTTATGGTGAAACAGTAGACTGCACTCACTGTTGCGAGAGGAGGCCAGCCGAAATTGGCTTCCCTTGGTGAAAGAAAATTGAGGGATTGACCAATCAGACAAGGCTCACGGCATGCCCCTGCCAACCTGTGATTAGTCAGGGCCATGCAAAGGGAAGCGAGAGGCGGCTGGCTTCCCTTGCCTCACAATCCAACCAAATCGCATCAACTTCAGTTCGTACTGTAACTGTCATCACCGCCGTTAGAAAGTAGCAAGCAACTGAAGCAAGTGCAATTATGGAGGGTGGAGATTTGGAGTATTTAATCAAAAATAATTTTACTAAACTTCCGCTACAGCAGCAACTAAAAATTCAATCTGATGACAGGCCAATTCCCAAACTGGAGCTGTGTACAGAGAGGAAAAAAGGAGCGAATCGGACGTAAAACTTTAAAGGTCTCCTGATTTAGTTTGTGAATGTATGATACAAATGTGTGTAAAATGATACCGGGCGCTGTAATCACTCATCTGGTTATGTAATTACATTGACCATCCCAACCTCCACCCCCCCGACCCCAAAAAAAGGACGTATTATTGGCTTCCCCAAAAATAAAGTCCTGCACGGGTCTGATTTTCAAGACCCGCTCCCACCCCGCAACGTGCAATACCGAAGACGTGCATTACCGAACCCGCCCCGCCAACCGCACATATTGCCAATTAGTTCCGCAAACCGACCCGACCCGTCGGCACAAGATCCGCAAACCGACCCGAACCCGCATATCCTATATGAGCAGTGAAAACGTGCAATTATTAACACACACAGTTGCATATTTGTCTCAAAAAGCGTGGGATGATTTTCTCCATCTAGGATGACACCAAAAGCCTCCCAGACGTTGGATTTCGCTCTTGAGGAAGTGTTATTGAAAATGCTGTATTCTCCGAGCTCCCATGTGTCGAAATATGGGATAGTAATATCTTTGCAAAATAATCCATCCATCTCCATCGAGATGCTTACTAAACAGCATAATGGGGTGTGCCTTGGTCTGGATAAAATAAAAGGCCCCAGGCACAAATGTGTGGTTTAAACAAGCCCCCAGGAAGTGCGCTGGAGGTTGAATTTTTGCAGTGACCGAAAAGTTGTACTTCAACTTCTGTGTCAGCCCGTGACATCATTGGGCCCAGAAATACTTTTTATCCCATTTAATTACATTGGGAATTAGATTATTTTCAGCTAAATGAACTCCCCAGTGCTGACATTATATTAGCCCTTATTTAAATAATAAGGTCCAAAGAGTTATAATCCCTTTCCATTCATATGACTGAGCAGTGACTGGCGGTGACGCTGGCAATTGGAGGCGGGGCTTAAGGAAAACGCAAGCGCACAAACTCTATTGGCATGGATGATGGTATTTTTGTTCTCGAGAGTCAGGCCATTTTGGCTTTATGAACCGCTGAGCAAATTTCATAGGGAATGAACGGGGCAACACCTCTGATGCTGTATCCAGTTATCTTCATACATCCATGGGTTTAACATTATGATATGGACATATCACCTTAGAGAACTAATTTGAGGCTTTTCCATCTGACATCATACATTCTAAACTTAGTTCCTGCTATACATGATCTGAACCTATCTGTTTCCTGTTTTGAAGTTTTTTTCAATCTGTGTCATGACTGTTTATACTTCCTGTTTTTGTGTGTTTAACCGCCTTTTGGATCAGCCATGTAACCACTTGACCTCCTGTACACCAGCATTTTATCCCCTCATTAGTTAAGATTCTATTTATATCTGTAAATCCTGGTTTACTGTTAATCTCGGTCTGATTCTTGTATGTCGTGCAATGTGTACAATAGTTCTTTTTTTTTTCTCTTGCCTAGATTAAAGTCCTATCTCATTCTTTTGGGTCAAACATGAGTTTTGGTAAGATGCTTCTGCTTTGGACAAGCTGCCCAGGGAAATATATATTTGCCAATGATTTTAGATTTGTGACATTAGTATTAGCCAAAAGGCTAACCCTACAGCTGTGCCGTGTCTCAATTCCCATTCTTAAGTACTTACTTCCATTAAAGGGCATTCACACTGTTGTATTTATAACGGACAAAAAGTTGTTGTATGTCCTCACCACATCTGAGCTGCTGCTCACGAAGGTTGTGAAACTCCAGTCCGTGGAGGTGTGTGGGGAACACACACACCGTGTCGTTGCCGATCTTCAGCGAGTTGCTTCGAGCCCAGAGAAGCAGCCACTTCAGCTGACAGTCACAGAACAAAGTCTCTGTGCTGAAGTGCCTGATGGGAAAACCAGAGACAGTTGCCATCTGTGTTGTTGCTTAATTTGAGCAACTGTATTCAATAATGCAGACAGTTTGATATCACACGGAAAAGCGGGGTGCAATTCCTCAAAGTAATAACGGTTTCATTCAATAGCCAGCTCCAGGGCATAAGTGTGATACATTATTTCACTGATTCACCTACATTTGACAGCAGCGTTACGGTAATAATTGTATTCGTACGATAATTATCATATTCGTACAATAATAATCGTATTTGTACGATACATTTGCCGTATTCGTACAATGTCCAATCAATTCTACCAAAATTGCCTGAGTGTACCATAATGAATCAATTGTTGTACTCTTATTAAAAGCCTTTTTTTAATGTCCAATTTGCTTTCATTTCCAAATAGGAAAACATGGATGCTACCTCTGTGTTTGCACATCTCTTCTCACCTGAATTAGCTTGCTTTGGGTGGCTAGATTTGTAGTTGTTCACAACATATTTAGTCTAAAATTAAATATGTACGCCTGCGTTCTTGTGGTTATGTCTTGCATAAGATAGTTTTAATGAAAGACCTTTAAAACTATGCTACAATAGTTTAACAATTAACATCTAGTAATGATGTTTAACAGTTTAGATATCATCAGTCACACCTCTACCTTCCCTGCTATAGTCAACATATCTGCAATGCCAAAAGCTAATATCTCCTTGACTCAGTAAATAATGAGGTCTTAATATATTTTCAAGCCACAACTTAGAGGACTCAAAGTGTGATGCTCATGATAAGTATATGTGGTGTCCTTACAGCACTTTGAGAGCCACAAGGTGCGTGAAGATTCCCACAGTCAGTGTGGAGAAGATGTTCCCAGATAGATTCCTGTTGGTGGGAAACACAAAGACATTCATTCAGTCACTATTCACACGCTCTAAATCCACCCAACGGTGTTTTGTTATACATTTAAATCCTACTAAATCCATATCAAACACCACATACGGTAAACACAGAAAATTAAGCATAAAGCTGTGCAATGTATGATTTTAATTTCCGGATTACTCACAATTTTGAAACGCTGCCCAAATCGAGAAACATTTCAGGCGAGACACAGCCGATCCTGTTGTTGGACAGATCTCTTTTGTGTTGGACAGAATAGATAAAGAGAGAAGAAAAATATCAGCTTTATAGAGAATATTTCTGATAATGTAGTTCCCATGGCCCAACTTAGAACATGTGTCTGTGTTCATGCATTGCCTATTTGTAAAAAACAAAGAACATCTGGGAAAACTGTTAGTAAACCACGTTCATTCATTTACTCAACTTCCTGTCCTGACCTTCTGTAACCTTTTACGCCTTATACCCATTGTTGGCACACACACATCCCCCCACGTACACACACTAACACGTGCAGGCGCAGTGGGCTTCCGTATGCGAGTTTCTAAGCGCTGTCGCGTCCATGGCTCCGTGCCCTTGCACTCTGTAATTAAAGAGCTGCTTTGCTGGAGCAGCTGTGGGAAAATAAGCAGAGCACTCGAGTAATCACCAGTTGGGGAGGACTTAAATTAGCACTCTGCTCCTCCCGAGCTTGGCGAGCACGCGCCCCGAATCAGCACGGATAGCTCAGTGCCTGCATCCCTGCCAACCAAGACCCCACTAACCATCAGCCTGCAATCATGTCACTCACTCTGGAGCCTAAATGTAGAAAGCCAGGAGGAGAGTAATGGCCGGGAAAATGACTTGAGTAGGAGAAACCAAAACAAAGAGAAAAACCCTTGTCCTTGTTTTGTACAGGCGAATCTTTTTTTTGTGTGTGTGTTTGTTTACATGGCAACAAATACTTTTTTGCAGTTGTATGTGAGTTTGAAAGTCTAAGTAAATATATAAGTAATTATCCAAATCAAGTAATTACAAATATTTGGTTTTCATTTTGTTTATCTGGAGATATTTACTCTTCCTTTTTTATTTACCTATATGATTTAATTAGTTGCTCCATACATACACTTTGTTCAGTACAAAACGTATTTTCTTACAGGCAGAATAAGTACAACAAATATTTAAAAAAATACATGCCTTAATCGTGAGCCTTTAATCAGTTTTTTTATATGAATGAAAACAAAAACGTTTTTTTAAAAGAGATAGTTCAAAATTAACTTTAATTTAAATGTTATTCATTACATTTAATTCATAAGAAAAAAACACACTTGCTCATTTCAATACACACTTTTCTCTTTTTTACTGCATCGTATCGTACTGCCTCACATGATTTTGGTATTAACAACAGAAGGGAGACTCTTAATGGACTGCTATTATAAAAATACTTTGTGAACCTTCAGCGTTGCTGGCTTAATCAAAGTGTATTTAATTTACATTCCGTTTTGAAAAATCCTACAGCCAATGTGTGTGAATGATTTCTGCGTCAGTTTGCCTAATGGAGTTCAAATGTTGTTTAACATCAGATCCAAAATCCACATCCTATTGCGCCTTTAATGCAACTAATTCAAGGATTAAGGCAAACAGAAAGAAATCCAATGTGCCTTCAGCAAAGGTTACCAAGTCTCGCTCTAACACCCCAACTGGCAGAAGATCAGTGGTTCTAATTCTGGAAATCTCAGTGAATAAGTGAACTAATAATAATAATAATAATAGCTTGGATTTATATAGCGCCTTTCATGAGACCCAAGGTCGCTTTACAAAGAAGAACAGGGGCAAAACAAACATAACAAAAACAAAAGGCAGTCAGACAACCAGTCAGACACACAAAACAACAAATAGGTTAGGGGCCAAAGGCCTTAGTAAACAGATGGGTCTTGAGGGCCCTTTTGAAGGCGTCAAGCGTGGGGATGTTCCGGATCTCCGCAGGGAGAGCGTTCCAGAGGGTGGGGGCTGCCACACTGAAGGCTCTGTCCCTGAAGGTTCGCAGTTTGGTGCGGCGGGTGGTAAGCAGGCCAGAGTCTGAAGACCGCAGGTTCCGGGGTGAGGCATGTGGGCGAAGGATGTCCGATAGGTACTGGGGGGCATGGGCATGGAGGGACTTGTAGGTAAGGAGGAGGATTTTGTATGTTATGCAGGACTTGACCGGCAACCAGTGGAGGTGGATGAGGGTGGGAGTGATGTGCTGCCACGGCTTTGTATGTGTGAGTACCCTAGCAGCACAGGGGTACAGCAACTACAATGCTTTCCCTGTCCATAACACCTCCTGCTGATGTGCCCTCTAGCACAACATGAGAACACAATCCTGCAGACCAGTGCCCCCAGTTTTGAATGCGTCTACACTAACAATTAGATAGAATTTGATTAAGAAGGAGTAATGTGCCTTTATTTAGCCTCGACTGGAAAGAGAAAGCTCAGCAAAGGCTGAAATGATCTTATCAACACTTTGCCTCAGTTTCATTCCTCTCTTAGCCATGTACAGTAGGCTACTTCAGACACAGCTTTTCCCCTTGTCCCCTGGATAATCCTTCATCATACTCACAGTCTCCTCAGAGCATGCAGACCTCTGAAGGCCCCGGGCTCCACCGTACTGATCAAATTATTCTTCAGGTCCCTGGAAGAGAGAGACAGAGTGTAGGCATCAACAATAACAGTCAGTGATAACCATATGTGCATATCCATCCGTCTGTCCAAATATCTGACAAATTAAATTGAGGAAGGCGATAGTTTTGAGAGGAAATTTGGCAATTAAATTATTGCTGAAAAAAAAACTAAAAACACAAAGCACTTTTTTTTTTTTTTTTTGGCCTTATAACTAATTCACCAGCTCTTAATATGGTATGATTTTGCTTGAAGTGAATATATCTGCAGTTTGAATCTTTATGGTTTTTGCACTTAATGTCTTATTGTAAGTCGCTTTGGATAAAAGCGTCAGCTAAATGATAGCTAATATCTAATAATGTGTCATAAAAATGTACTTGAGCTCATTTTGTATTTATATGAGAAGGGACAAAGAACATAAATGAACACGAGCACTTTGTTCCATCATGCAAACGCACCACATTTAGCCATGGAAGCTATTTGTTGTATCTGCAGTCCCTGGCAGGTTGATGGCAATAAGTTACATTACATTACATTACATTGCATTTAGCTGACGCTTTTATCCAAAGCGACTTACAATAAGTGCATTCGACCAGGAAGTACATCAGGTTTCATAGAGCCAAAACATTTCAAGTGCTACTCAACTGGCTTTAGATAAGCCAGTCTTTTATTAGTATATAAGTGCTCTGTTAGCAATTATTTGTTAGTAATTCTATCGCTCAAAGTGGAGTCGAAAGAGATGAGTTTTCAGTCTGCGCCGGAAGATGTGTAAGCTTTCTGCTGTCCTGATTTCAATGGGGAGCTCATTCCACCATTTTGGAGCCAGGATAGCAAACCCACGTGTTTTTGCTGATGGGAACTTGGGTCCCCGTCGCAGTGCTGGTGCAGCGAGCCGTTTGGCCGATGCAGAGCGGAGTGCACGTGCTGCTGGGGTGTACAGTTTAACCATGTCCTGGATGTAGGAAGGGCCAGATCCATTCGCAGCATGGTACGCAAGTACCAGTGTCTTGAAGTGGATTCTAGCAGTTACTGGAAGCCAGTGAAGTGAGCGGAGGAGCGGCGTGGTGTGGGAAAATTTCGGAAGGTTGAAGACCAGACGAGCCGCTGCATTCTGGATGAGCTGCAGAGGTCGGATGGCACATGCAGGTAGACCAGCCAGGAGGGAGTTGCAGTAGTCTAGGCGTGAGATGACGAGAGCCTGGGCCAGAACCTGCGTCGCTTTCTGGATCAGGAGGGGACGTATCCTCCTGATGTTGTAAAGAGTGTATCTGCAGCAGCGGGTTGCAGCAGCGGGTTGTTGCAGTGAAGGACAGGTTGTTATCTAGGGTCACACCCAGATTCCTTGCAGTCTGAGTCGGGGAAACAATAGAGGTGCCGATGTTGATTGTTAGGTTAAGAGTGGGACAATCTTTTCCCGGAAGAAAAAGCAGCTCAGTCTTGTCAAGGTTGTGCTTGAGGTGGTGAGCAGACATCCACTGAGATATGTCAGCTAGACAAGCAGAGATGCGTGGAACGACCTGGGTCTCTGAGTGGGGAAAAGACAGAATTAATTAGGTGTCGTCAGCGTAGCAATGGTATGAAAAACCATGCGGGCTAATGACCGATCCGAGCGAGTTTGTGTACAGAGAGAAGAGGAGGGTACCAAGGACAGGGCCCTGAGGGACCCCTGTAGTTAATTGACAAGGGTCGGACTCTGACCCTCTCCAAGTTACCCTGTAGGTGCGGTCTTCGAGGTATGAGGTGAGGAGGGATAGTGCAGAGCCTGAAACTCCAAGTTCTTGGAGAGTGCGAAGGAGGATCTGATGGTTCACCGTGTCGAATGCAGCAGACGGGTCCAAAAGGAGGATGACAGAGGAGAGGGAGGCTGCTTTAGCAGTGTGCAGTTCCTCAGAGACAGCGAGGAGAGCAGTTTCTGTGGAGTGACCTGCCTTGAAACCAGACTGGTGCGGATCCAGAAGGTTGTTCTGATGGAGATAACAGGAGAGTTGTTTAAAGTTGAAGTTGGTGCATTGATGACATATGTTTGTAGACCAACCCGGAAGTTACCATCGCGAGGGCCCCTTCGACAAAGAGGATTTGGGATATTGCAGAAAAAAAGCGTTGTGGTTAAGTATTTATAATACTTAACATGTTTATTCAGCAGGAAAATCTCTTTAACTCTTAAAAGAGTTTATGATATTTGAAGCAAAAATAATATTGGCAAAATTAAAAAGCTAAAGTAATGCCACATCACTGTAGGCTAAGGTTGGTATGTTGATGTACAGAAGTTTATTTTGTTATTTGTGAAAAAACGCGTTTTTATTACACACAGACATTTTATATGCCGACGTATTTTATGTCGTAGAAAAAAATCTCGTAAGCTTGTGTTATCCACAGACCTTATTTCAGGAGTCTAAACACAAACAGATTAAAAAAACTGTTGATTTCAAGACAAGGGAACCAGAAGCGGTAAAACGCTAAGTCATTTTCCGGGTTTAAGTACTCATAAAAGAAGCCATCAAGAGTATAAAAGCATAGAGCACACATGAGCACAAGCACAGGCCAAAATGCAAGAGCACAATTAAAACACATTAGCACAGTTAGAGCACATTAACAGCACATGCTTGCTAACTGTGTAAACCGGGGCCTTCCAAGAAGACATGGTTATTTCAGATGGGGATGAGGATGTTTAAATTGCTCGTGTAACGACCATACATGGTTATCTAATCCCAATGCACACTCTCACTTCCATTAGTTTCTGAGCATGTTCATTTCAGTTGAAGTCAACCACACCATGATTACCACCACACAGAGGATTTCAACTGTTTATTTGCTTTTAACCTTAAAATATTTAGATCAAGTGCACATATTTTAGCACTGTAAGGTTAAACATGTATTTGTTTGTTATACAAATAATTAGTTCCTTGTCAAAAGTTACCTGGTTGTTGGGGGAGGTTACTTCCTGGTTTAGCAAAAGCTGTGTCTGAGGACCATTAAGGCCCAATCCCAAACCACGCCCTACACCCTACCCCTACACACTACCCCTCCATTTGCGCGTTTGCGCGGAGGGTCCGCCACATTAAGTGCTGTTCCAAACCAACGAGTGTGGAGCGGTGTGGAGGGGGAGTGGGCTATCAAGCCATCAAACAGCGAGTCTGCATCGGTGCTGACTGGAGACCGGTCTCTACCTGACCGGTCTCAACGCTGTGTGTCCCTCAGGAAACACGCTGTTTACAAACAGTTCCAGCAAACATCCACTGATACATTTTGATGTTAACAACCTCATGATAACCTCATATTTTGTTAACTTAGGGTCATACCTGTGTTTAGTCTAGAAAAAGGTAAATGTGTGCATTTTATTATAAAGTTGTGTATATTTACAGATTGTTGCAAAAACTTAGAAGCTTATAATCAAATCAAATCAAGTTTTATTTATATAGCACATTTTTAAACGATTTTTGGTCGAGCCAAAGTGCTGTACATATAATAAAAATACCCTACAGTAAAGACACTTTACAGCAAATACAACAGCACAGTTTGTTCAGAATATCAGTATGAGAAAAATGACACCCTCTGTCCTTAGACCCTCACATCGTACAAGGAAAAACTTCCAGAGAAAAACCCACATTTCAAAGGGAAAAAATGGGAAAAACCTCGGGGAGAGCATCAGAGGAGGGATCCCTCTCCCAGGACGGACAGAAGGGCAATAGATGCTGTGTGTAAATCGAAGAGATAATACATTTTACAGCGTAGGTAGACCGAATGTTTGGAAATGCATGTGTCTATAATAAGAAGATGAATCCACGAAGATGTCAACAACAATCCTGTGGGAGCCATCAGGGAAGCAGCATGACGAGACCCAGGCAGATTATAAACATCAGGTTCAAAACTAAAAGAGCTTTACAAAAAAGTAACACAATTAAAGATGTTTGGAGTTTTATTTGAGTTATTAATTTTAATTTTTTGTCTAAGAGATGCTGATTTGAAACCGTTGGTATACAGTTATGGCATTTCCTGTTTCTGCCGGAGAGAGGGGAGTTTGTCCCAAAGCTTGCCGCTGTATTTACTCCCTCCATCTGACAGGAGGGAGCCTCATTGAGCTGCGAGTGTCACTCCACGGAGTTCACTCCATCACCGAGGGGTAGGGTGTAGGGCGTGGTTTGGTGAAATATTTATTTAATATTGAGGAAGGTGAATATAAAGCCTATTTTAAGTTTTTCAGTGGGAATGCTGATACAGCATTCCAACTATATGTTATTCTACAGACAACATTTTTATTATTCCGCCGGAATTTTGCACCTCTTCTCCTCCTGCATTCAACATCGCAGAAACTCCGTTCAAACATCAAAACGTTCAGCTCGGTCGGGAATCGATGGCTATTACTTTTATCATTCATAACTTTTATAATTCCAGAGATACATCCCATAATTCATCACATTTTTAACCATTGAAGTCAATGGAGAAAATCTTCAGACTTGAACAATCTTCATGCGACTTCAACTGCTAACTGTTCATTCATACTTTCACTCAGAAACCTCATTCCAACTTTAAAATGTTACACATCTTTCTGACATTATTCCTGTAACACAAGAACACTTTTAAATCTGATTCTTACTTTTAGAGATATTAAACATTGTTCAGACCTTGTTAAAGAGGCTTTCTTCAGATTTTAACATTAACTAGAGTGCGTGATGTCACAGCTAGAGGGTAGGAAATCTTGAAATTTGCCTTCATATTTTTTTTTTAAACTGACATAATTCCCAAACCCTACATTCCTGAGACATAATTTTTCATGACAAACGTAGGAAAACATCTCGTAGCTTGAAAAATGACAAATAATTAAGCAAAAAATAATTAAACAAAATGCCTCTTGAGGGCATGAAGTGACAAAAACGTTCAACATGTCTCCATTAAAACCCATTGTAATTTCAGGCTGATATTTCCTCACGGTAGCAGCCGCACACCTTTAGTTAAACTGCCAAAAAGGCCACATTATTAACCCGAAAGTACACAAAAATTACACTTCAGATACTC